ATCTCCTGCTGAAATTATTTATCCAAAGTCTTCCTTGTTTCCTATACTACCCAAAGTCTTTGGTAGCGTATGTTTTGTCCACATCTTTGGTGCAAAGAGGGATAAGCTTGATGCTAAAGCTGAACAAATGTGTTTTTTGGGATATCCATCACTTAAAAAATGATTCACGTGTTATGATCCTATTAACAAAGTCCAGTACGTCTCCATGGATGTTTGTAGTTCTCTTCTACTGATCATGAGTCTCTTCAAGGGGAGAATAGGATACACTTTAGTGAAAAAAGTACACATTTGTGGTTCCCCTTCTTGTTCCCACACCATTTTTATCTGAAGAGAACGGTGCATCTGAAAAGAATGGTATACACCTTGAAAAGGAGACGAAGACGTATATCAAAAGAAATAAGATGGTACAACCTGAAGTTCGAAGCAATTATTACCCCGGATGTTAAGCAAGAATTAAGAATTGTATGTGACTCAAGTAATTCTTTCACCTTCTTTAAGTGTCCTAATGTGGACTTACCCATTGTTGTACGCAAGAGTAATCGTTCTTGCACTCAGCATCCTATATAGAACATTGTATCCTATAGTTCTATGTCTTCTTCTTATCGTGCCTCCAAATTAGGTCTATCTCCTGTTCAAATACCTACTTGTGTTGCAGAGCTCAATGGAAGGCTCCCATGAGCGATGAGATACAAGCACTTGAGCAAAATAGTACATGGAAATCACCAACCTTCCAAAAGGGAAGAAGGTCATAGGATGTCTATGGGTATACACTGTGAAGTACAAGGCTGATGGAACCAATGAAAGGTACAAGGCTAGATTAGTTGCAAAGGGGTTCATTTAGACTCTAGGCATAAACTACTAAGAAATATTTGCTCTTGTGGCCAAGTTGAACACTATGAGGATAGCTGCTAATAAATCATGGCCTCTCCACCAGCTACATGTAAAAAATGCATTCTTAAATGGAGAAATCCAAGAAGAAATCTATATAGTCAGGCCTCTAGATTTTTAGATTAAGGTGGAGACAAGAAAGGTGCGCAAGTTAAAGAAGGCAATTCCTGGACTGTTTCCTAGAGGATGGTTTGAAAAAGTCAGTAAGGCACCACTGAAATTTGGGTTTAAAAGAAGTTATGCTGGTCATACGCTCTTTGAAAAGAAGAATGGTGTCGAGATTACAGCACTTATAGTATATGTTGATGATATTGTTGTGATAGGGGACAATGTGAAGGATATTGAGGATCGTATATCATATATAAGCAAGGTGTTCAATATCAAAGGTTTAGGCCTCCTTCAGTATTTTTTGGAGAATGAAGTGGTAAGATCAAAGAAAGGGATAGCAATCTCCCACATAAAATATGTGTTAGTATTATAACAACTGGGATGTTAGGAGCTAGACATGTTGTTACTCCTATAGAAGTCAATTATAAACTTCATGGAGGAAGGGGAGATACTTGAAAATCCAGCCAATATAGTAGGCAAGCTCATATACTTCACGAACACACGACCAGACATCTCTTATGCAATTAGAGTGGTCAGCAAATTTATGCATGCACCAGGTAAACCACATCTTGATGTTGTGTATCAAATATTGAGATATCTCAAGTCTACTCCATGAAGAAGAATATTATATCCAATCAAACGCATTGTGATGTTGCTATTTACACTGACGTTGATTGGGCTTGATGTCAAACTGATAGAAGATCCACAACTGGCTATTGCACATTTGCTTAGAAAATCTGGTTTCTAGGAACAGCAAAAAACAAAATGTAGAGGCAAGATCAAGTGTTGAAGCGGAATACAAGGCTATGGCTCGTGGTACATGTGAAGGAATCATCATCATTATCATCACTATAGCCTTTTTTCAATTAATTGAGGTCGGCTACACGAATTTTGGTCTTCCATTCTGCTCTATTAAAGGTCATACCCTCAGTGAGGCCATAAGTCCCCATATTTTTTCGGACTACTTCCAACCACGTCCTCGTCAAAAATGTTTTGTTAGATTTGGGGGGTTAAAGTTAAACTTCCCATGACTTTGTACTATGACAATGAAGTTTGTTGTCAAGATCATTCATACTCCTCATGTGAAGTCTAAAGATCAACGTACAGATATCTTCACTAAGGATGTTGGATAGGATAGAAGATATCACAAGCAAGCTAAGCATGGTTGATATCTATGCACTAGCTTGAGGGGGAGTGTTGGAAATAATAAATAATTGTTATAATTAAGGGTATAAATGTCTTTCATTGCACCATGGCTAGTATCATAATTCATCACTTTTATTAATACAAAAGGGGGTGCATGCTGGTCATTTCAGACCATCAATCCTCTCTCTCTCTCTCTCTCTCTCTCTCTCTCTCTCTCTCTCTCTCTCTCTCTCTCTCTCTCTCTCTCCTCTTTTTCTTCCTTCTCTTTCCCTCTCTTACTACTCTCTAATCTCCTACTTTTATTTTTCCCTCTTTTTCTCTTCGTTAATTTACCCTAGATTATTTTCAACCCTTAAACCTTGGGGCATGCTTAAGAGGAATCTACCTTTCCCTTTTTTTCTCTTCTTTAGTTTGCCCTAGCTTAGTTTCAAGCATTAAACCTTGGGGCATGCCTGAGAGGCATCTACCCTAAATTCAACAGAAGATGGGCTGGGTGCACCCGCCACTAGGCTAGCTTGGGTGGTTCAGGCCCCAAGGGCCACCCTTGGGGACCAAACTTTTAGGTGGGGCATACCTGCCTAGAAGAGTGAGAACCTCCTTATATAGGCCTTAAAGGTCTTAGGGCATTCCACTTAGATTAAGATTCAGCCTGACTAAATGATTACCTAGGAATCTGTAAGGTGAGAGAAACAAAACAGAATTATTCATTCCAAAAATCAGCCATAATGATTTCGGAATGAATCTAGAAACCTTATCCCCCTAATCTTTGACCCATATCCACTTCTAGCCAATCTAGGATATGACCAATCAAATCTCATCTTCTATTTTGGCTAGAATTTCTTCTCTCACAAAGACATTGTAGAAATTCAAAGTCAAAAGAGTCTTTGTCAAATTTTCAAGTCATAAGAATAGTTTCTAAACCACAAAATATTCTATACTCCCACAAATATTCTCAAAAAATACTTTTCAAAGAATTTTTCAAGATTTCCCTTAAATCTCTCTTATGAAAGATTTGCCACATAAGTGGGAGATCTTCCCATGAAAAAAAAAGACATGCTCCATAAGGGGGATGTGACAACCTTGTTGGGCCCCACATCCTCCTAATGTGGAGCCCCCCCCCCCCACACATGTGGGAGCTGGACATGGGCCCCTCCATGTGGATCCGACCTTGAAACAATGCCCCTACAAACATTAAAAATGGCAAATATGCCTTTTTGAGAGTTTTAATGGATAAAAACAACTATTAAAAAATCTGAAAAATATTCGAAATAAATAGCAACATAAATGCAATTGAAAACACTATTTATGATGTTTTGAAAAGTCTGACCAATAAATAGTGGAACCACGATTCTAGTATGTAGGTTATAGGTTCCCCCTTAGAATGAGTCACATCACCATAGTGCAAGTATATATGTATATGTATATATATCCCTATATAGGGTTGATTCCCAAAATATGGCCGCCGTAGGTGCATGTCATGCGGAAGTTTGTTGAGGATTTGGCCATTGCTCTTACAAGGCAGCAATCGTACACAGGAGACACAAAGCTCTTCTGTCCTATAAACCATCCCTGGGCATCTCTCAACCTCAACAAAGGATAATCCTCCAGAAAATCCTTAATGGCTATGTCTCAGCCCAAAGAAAAAGGGTTTTGGATAATGACCCGAGCCATAGACTGCCCAACCCTAGGTCAGTCAACCAACATACACTCCCAATAAAGTGTATAATTCACTACTTTTTAATATATTTACATGCTCTCAAACCCCAACATAAAGCCGTTGCATGACATGATAAATTAAAATAACAATCTGACTGATCAAAAAAATACAACATACACATGCTGCTGCTAGAGCAACTATTTCCAGACACATATAAACTTGTCTACAAATAATTTGATCTAATTACTCTACAATTATTGAGTGTATCTAATGTTCCATGAGTTAATCTACAATTGCTATTCCATAAGTTTCAAGGATATTGAAGAACACTGGTGTAGTTTAACAATATGCATTATAGTCCGTTCTAGTGGTTGGAATAACAACTGTGTGATCTCATTGTTAGGCAAGTAAGATTTTTCTGCGCAGCTGAGGTAGGGATTTGCCTAAGATTTGTACTGTAAGTGTGATTTCTCAAAGTACAGTTTTATAGACCAAGTGCTGGCATTATTTATGTGGACCATCAAAACAAACTGCACCAGACATTCTGCGGGGACCACTCCAGTGCATAAAGAGGTATGTAAATACACGAGTGATATAAGAGCGATAACTTCTTTATTGATGTTCAACATTTAACTCATAAAGACCAACAGAAAGAAGTAGCACATCATTGATTAAAAAAATATAAGACAGAGTTCTGAATCAACAAGGGCTGTGCATGGACTGTTACAAAAAGAAAACATAAAGGACTATCGATATTCCGAAGACATTGTGTAACAGATTCACACTAATAGCTTCATGATGCTATTGAATTGCAGTTGATGTACTACAATAACTAATATTTTGCTTACTTCATTTGGTTATGGATGGGGTTTCTATGAGTCTGCTGACTCATACTGTACACGTGGATTTTTAATCCAAAATTTTAGAGATGCATGATCTAGGTGACGATGATCATGAATATGAAAATAAAATAAAATTTTCAATATTTAAAATATGATTTTTGAAGGAAAATTTCTAAGCCGACTAATTTCATTTTAGCCCCATGGGTTTTTTACAATGTCCATCTTGGAGATGACGTTGGTGAGTCAGCGGGCTCTTGCACCCGCTGACTAATAAATAACTTTTCCTTTGGTTATTCCATTAATCAATATGAGGAATGCCAATCTAATTAATAACAAACACAAAAAGTAGGATATTTTACTTCAGAGAAGGTCCCGGAGAGTGAGGAAACATGGCACTCTTTACATACACCTGCAGTTAAATTTTCAAGTTTGAAGATCAGTATCTCGGAAATGACTGCATATTTATCACTAGATAATATTACCTCATATCACATAATAATTTAAGCAATTATGATCTCCAATACAAGTTGAGAAACCAAAGAGTATAGCAAGGACTCAATGAGGCATCCAGAAATCAAATAATAAACCATCCACATAATACAATTCATGTCACTGAGATGTGCCGAGTGTAACATTCTAGGTTAGAATTTCCTCCAAAAACATCTGCCTATGGTTAACGTCCCCCACACATATCATGGTAAAAGGATATGCTTGCACAATTAAATTGTCAGATGAGAAAAGAAATACTGAGTCGAGCCCTAGCTTCTTACTCTATGGGGTATGCCACTCTGCTAGATCTTGCCAATGTGAAAATGTTATCAAATGATGTAGAAGAGGAAGAAAAGTGAGGCATCGAAAATGGAGAAGAGGTCTGGTTATCCAACCACACTGTCATGTTTGGACCTTCCATATGTGTGTGTTTGTATTAGGGTTACGGGTATTTTACTCCTATTCCCTTCATGTAAATCAGATATTACAATGTGCACAAACTACATGAATAATGGATATACAAACAACAAATACTACCGCTATACCCATGTACAATACAAATACGAAGTATCATATTGCTATTAGCGCCCAACAAGTTGCGCATTGTGGCTTGTAGGATGGATAGCTCCTTTTTAAGAAACCACCGTCTAATATATGTGGAGTGCCTTGATGAAGATATTTGCAATTTAATATGTCACCAAAGAATCTCGCCTCAAATTTCTTGATTTTTAATGGAGTACTAATTAATCTCAATGTGCTTCATCTTTCCACAATGAATTAGATAGATAAGTATAGAAATTGCATTATGGTTATCACCAAGGAGTGGAAAAACACCAAATCTGTTCGAAATAACCCAACCCCACCTGGAATCAGTCCCCTACCATCTGGGCTCCTTAATAGAACCGGAAATCAGTCCAATTTGCATCGAATTGCACAATTCTGTCAGAGAATTAGGCAATTCTACTGGGGAATTCCCGTTTCAAATTGGATAACCGGCAATTCCCCTTTCTACCTTTTTGGCTTTACAAACCAAAATTGAAAGCCTTTGATTTCTCTCACATCTTTCACCAAATTCTTTCAACCTTGTCCCAAATAGATCCTCTTTAATTGATCTACAATAGCCCAATCCAAATGTTTAACCCATTTTCTCTTAAGAAAACACCTTTTTGATCATTTTTAACTGTTCTATAAGATCAACATCATATTTTATTGGATCTATACTCCTATAAGATGAAATCAAAAGACGAAAAGTTGGGGCTTCTTCATTTTGAGTCAATTTTTAATCTGATTTAAAAATCTATGCATGTTTGATTTAAAACAACGTGAAATGAATTAAATCTATGCTCTTTTGAAAATCTATGTGTAACTGATGATGAAAGTTTCGTCTCTACAACTGATTTTTGTTTTTTTTCCCCCTTCATTTTCAATTTGATTGCTCGAATCAGTCAATCTGGATTGGAATTGCAAAATCTGAATTGGTTAACTGGAGGGCCAATCCTAAACCCCATTACACATTTAAAAACACTAGTTATCACAATAAAGCACCGACATAGAGATGTTCTAGCCAAGTGCTCCATAGATATCAAATCGAAAAAATTTCAGCACTAGTAGTTGCTATATATCTATATTCCGCCTCCATGCTCAACCTACCCATGTTTCTTAGCTTTATGCTATTTGATGAAACCAAATTCTGTCCCTGCAACACACAATAACCAGATATGGAACAGAAAAATTTTGAGTGTCTAGTGCAATCATCAAAACAGGCAAAGACAACAAGAGGTTTAGAGGAAGTGTCCCCTTGAGTATAAACCAGGCCACACTAGTTGCTTTAATGTATCTAAGTATGAATTTCAGTTCTTCCAAATGAGTAGAATAGAATACTGCATAAATTGGAGGACCTAGTTCACTACAAAAACAGGTACCCACCAGCCGTTTTGGGGGGGTGGAGGCACAATATTGTGGTATTATTGTGGATTAGAAAGTGGATCACCCTCTTATGCTTTAAGTATCTAATGAATAAGTATAGGAATCACAACAGGTTTACAGTCCTTCATGCCACTGCAAGAAAGCAAGTCTAATGCATACATAAGCTGCGAAGGTATAACTTTATCAACAACTTTGTCCACTTCAACACCAAGGACATACTTCAGCAAACTGAATCTTTCATTTGAAATTGAGTTTAACAACTCTTTCATGGTTTGAATACAATCACACAAGCTGTCAATAATAACAATATCATCAACATAAAGAAGCAAAATCGTGATTTCATGCTCAGCGGTATAGATGAACAATGAATAGTCCACTTGATTTGAGGGCCACAAATCACCTTGTCAAGTCTGCATACTACGAGTTTGGGTCACCTACTTTGCACCGAAATGGTTGTTTCCAATAAAACTGTTCCTTGAGGTCACCATGAAGGAACGCATTTTTAGCTATTGAAGATCCCAACCATAAGTGACTCCTAAGAAGAGAATAGTAATCATTCCCGTTTTAACTACGGGGCTGAAAGTTTCATTATAATCCAAGCCCTATTCTTGAGTATGCCCCTTTGCCACCAAGTAAGCTTTAAAGTGCTCAATGCTACCATCTGCCTTGTACACAATTTCATGGACCCATTTGCCGCCTACAACGTTGTATTTAAAACAATATGGTAACTTCCAAAGGACTTAACTTTTCACTCTGGTGCCGAAACCACTATTGTGACCCCATTTAGGAAACGCAACATGACCAACTTTGTCGGTTTTCTCCAGCAAACGTGATTAAAAGACACCTCTATAGCCCTGAATGGGGCCTCTGAAATTTGTTGTGTGAAATGCGCACTTCATCAATTAATTTACTTTCTTGTTTATAGTTAGTTTCCCTATTAACTGCTAAACTAAGTAGCCCAAAAAACTCTAGCCTAAGTGCACAAGCCAGACACCTAGGGACTTATCCCATTCCCATATCAAACCACGAATCCAATATTCGTATTGGAATTCTTACTCTTCTCCATCTCACCAATTGTTTGATCTTTTCCAACAGCCAAACTTGCAATAATCCTTTTGGTCCATTATGATGTCCAGTCATCCAGGTCATATTTCACTAATAGAAAGGTCAAAGGATGTTGAGAAACTTCTAGTCAAAGTGGTATTAGAGGCAGAGGCAGAGGCAGAGGGAGCAAAAGTAGAAATATCATAAGATGGAGCACAGCCTGTCAAAAGTAACTGGCCAATAGAAATGTTCAAGAAGGCGGAGGCACCCACCTAGGCGGTTTGAGTCCTGACCGCCCAGAAATAACTTCACCCGTTCGGGAAGGGGAGTGTTGGGGGCAGGCATCTGTTACACCTTGACTATTGTCTATTTATTCCAAACATATCTGTTTTGCGTTATAGTTTACAGACAACCATATCCCAATAACTTCAAAAACATACATGAAGGGATATAGATACACAAGATTTTTTTTACTTTTTCACACAAATTCTTTGTTGCGTAATATGAAACCATATATGGCACTGATCCATAGTCAAATTTCGTACAAGTTTTTGTGGGGTTTTGCCAAATTTCTTAATTTTCTTATAATTAATCTCCCATCTAACCAAAACATGCAACCAACACTAATTTGTGAGGGTTCCTTCCACATTTAGTTCACATATCATCGAGACCGGATCTTCTTATCATCAACAATCATTTCAAGATCACTTTTAAAGAATAAAAGAAGCAATATTTCTGAAATAATCAATGGAAATCACAACTCAATTCCTCAATTTAACCATTATATGCTCCCAATTAACAATTAGTTTCCACTAAAACAGCCTAAACTCAGTTATATAATCGCAAAACCTATAAGCACTCTTAACAAGTTTATTAAGGGGGCTTACACTTTTCTAGGGGTTTGCAGGGCTAGATTTCCCCCCAAACCCATTTTCCCCCCTTTCCAAGTGGGAAAATACTTTTTTGCCCTTGGCCAAGGGGCCTTTTTCAGACCTCGGTCAAGTTGTTCCAAGGTGCTGCCTAGGTAGGCACCTGGAAGCAAGGACACCCAGGGCACCCGTTAGGCGTTTTGGCAACCAGGTGGCCAAATTTTCGAACAATGACCAGTAGGACCAAGCCTTGAAGAATAAAACTAAAATCTATTCATTGAGTAACAGTTTGAGCACTCCATCGTTCTTATTAATATCCAGGGTCCATCCATCTCAAACTTCTCTTTCCAAAGACTAAACCTATTCCATATCCCCTTCCCATCCCCACCCCTCCCTCCAACCCCCCAAAGATTAGAGAGCTTGTCCAGAAATTTCACTGCCTATTCTACTTGTTTGTAATTCTATTGCACATTCAACCCACATAATGATAACTTCATTGTTTACTTGGCACTCATTTCTAAATTGTTAATACTAAATATATCTTCCTAGTTTCTAAGGGTCATTTTTGGGTCAATATAATTATATGATCATAGTAGTGACTGTCCTGTCCCTGGAAAGTTGAGCAATTGTAATATCTTCATCAATGTGATACTAGTTTGTAAGTCATACCAGCATCTAGTCATTTTGAACAAATACTGAACATCACATTACTATTTCTTATGTATTTCTAACGAGTTAGAACACCAAAAAGTGCCGTCATTTAGTGAATAGTAGTTGCGATTGCATGAATATTCACAAGAGGTCTAATAGAGGCTAGGGAATGTTCTGTAGATAAGCAACTTCATGGCTTTTGATATCCCAAGAGAATTAGAGAAATAATGCCTGATGAACATCTAAACTAGTGTAAGAACAGGAAAATAATTTTTTTTCTTAAGAATTGCAAAGAAATCAGTAAAAGAGCCAATTCTGAGTAGGAACATCATCCAAGTATAAGGTTGTGGCAACAAGGGGCGATACCTAGCTTAAAATAAGGCCAAGGCATTTTAGGGGCCGTTTGGATACCTGAAAATATATTGTCTGT